AAATAATCCAATTAAAAAACGTGCAGAGAAACTGAATACACATTTTTCCAAAGAACATATGCAGATAACCAACAGACACATGAAAAGATGATCTCCATCACTAATCATCAGGGAAATGCCAATCAAAATGACAAAGAGTATTACCTTACACCAGTCACAATGATTAATATCAGAAAGACAAGAAATAACAAGTGTTGGCAAGCATGTGAAGAAAAGGGATCCCTATGCCCTGTTGTTGGGAATATAAACGTGTGCAGCCATTTTGGAAGACAGTATGGAGGTTCCTTAAAAAATTAAAAATAGAAATGCCTTACAACCCAGTAATTCTACTTCTGGGTATTTACCAGAAGAAAATAAAAGCACTGATATGAAAAGATATATGCACCCAATGTTTATTGCAGCATTATTTACAATAGCCAAGATACCGAGGCAACCTAAGTGTCCATTGATAAATGAACAGACAAAGAAGATGTGGTGCATATACACAATGGAGTATTACTCAGTCATTAAAAAAATGAAATCTTTTTATTCATGATAACATGGATGGACCTAGAGCATATTATGCTGAATGAAATAAGTCAGACAGTAAAAGACAAAAACTATATGATTTCATTTACATGCAGAATCTATAAAGCAAACAAAAAAATCAGAATAGACTTAAATATAGAAAACAGAATGCTGGTTGCCAGAGGGGAGGTGGGTGGGAGGATGGGTGAAATTGGTGAAGAAGATAAAGAAGTACAAACATCAAATTATAAAATAAACAAGTCACTAGGATGAAAAGTACAACACACGGAATAAAACATACATACATACACACACATATCTTTTAAAATCTGGTTTATTCTATGGCCTGAGTTATTAATGAATTTATAGGTAACTTGAATAAAGTATCTGCTGGGACCAGAAGGCGTTCTTGACAGTGCCTAGGTCTCCTACTGGAGCAAGGACAATCTCAATAGCTTGGACTAGAAAGACCCCCTGGTGTATCCCTGGCCCTGGACCCTCACCACCTGCCTGTCAGGAGCCACCCCCAACTAGCACCATCAGGGTTGTGGCTCCTTTGCCCATTCAGCTCAGCTTCTATTAAGGCTATTCAAAGAGTGCCATCTGCAGGATGAAGTGAGGACATAAATATTTAATTCATTTCCTTCAAATGATGGTTGAAGAATTTGTTTAAAATGTATTCAAGAGCTAATAAACATAAAACTTAGGTTAAAGTTTAATGACAGAAATAGATTGTTATATTAATTCTTCACAGATATCATTTATTATTGCCTTGACTGTCTTTACCCCAAAGACTGACCAATGTTGAGAATCAGGTCCCCCCACTATCCCAAGAGTGGAGACATATTTAGGGGCATTTTGCTGCCCTCAACCTCTCCCCATGGTCAACCATTCTCTGCTTAAGGGCTTGCTCCTCCCTGTAGAAGGGCCAGTTTTCAGAAACTGTAACGGATGACATAGCTCTCTCCCTACTTTCCTTCAAGACAATTTTTTAAACCTGAATACAGAGAATGGGTGCTCAGAATGTCCTTTCAATCAGCCCCAGGTCAAAGAATCATAACATAAAGTTAAAATTTATGATTCCTTCACTGAATCATGGTCGTCTATAGTACTCTGACTAGTAACTTTCCACCTCCTGTTCCCTCCCATACATGACACCTTTCCTGGACTTATCTTGTAGCCAGGAGCCCAAAACAACAAAGAACAAGAGTTTCCATGCTTTGGCTTTGTGTCATTGATCTCTAGCTCAAGGACTGTCCAATTCCTGATTAAAACCACTCCTCTCCTCCTAACAGCCTTCATCTCACTGAGAACAGAAGCAAGGGACAGAGCATGCTTTCCTGCCTGGATCACCCCTTTTATCAGCACTTGAGGGTGATGATCACTTTGCACAGAACAAAGCAGGTCTAGGCTACTGACCGTCCATTGGCTTCGCTGCCTATTCCCTTCCCCAGAGTGGGGACAATGATGGAACAATACAGGATTCATTTCCACACTATGAGACCTATCTCTAGAAACCTATTCATAGGGCAATATGGTGACCTCATGACCTCTTTTCTAGGTATTCCTTTTGTGGTCTACATCTGCTGTTCTCTTCTGCAGGGGAAACACTCCTCCTAAGAGCATGGGCATTTTAGAAGGTAGAACTTTCTCTTTTCACTCACAAAGATTCTTATCAGAAGGCTAGTCAAGGAAAAATGGATTATATCCAGAGATTACTCATTGACAGAGCCAGGGAAAAGCTGTAATTATAATGTATGTCAAACTGGAAGGTCACAGAGGCACCCCACCCCCTGAACTCCTGAATTCTTGTTTTTGTTCTGTGCTTTCCATGAGCAAACTGGCACTAGGAAATGAATTTACACCCAGTTCCTATATCTCAATAAGGAGGGACAGCATAGAGTTAGGGTAAGAACATAACTTTGGAGTCAGACAGCCCTGGGTTTGAATCCCAGCAAAGCCAATGACAAGCCAAATGACTTGGGCACACTGAAGAACTTTCTAAGCTTCAGGGTCATCTTTTACATAACAAGGTTAATGTTGTCTATTATTCAGGATGGTAGGAAATAAAATACATAATGGGAAATAAAATACAAATGAAATAATCTCTCAAAAAATGTGTCCATTCTTTCTCACATGAATTTAAGTTAACATATCTCTGCTGCCAAATTATTATCCCATGTGAAAAGCATATCCAGCGTCAGTGAGAAGGTAGAGGAGCAATTGGGAGAAATAGGGTTGGAGTTGGGGTGGCCACCAGGTTGTAACAGTGCACAAAAATGAAAGCCCCCTCACAGGCCTATAACCAAGGCCAGAACTGTCTATGAAGCTACAGTAGGAAGAGAGCAATGACGGATGGGGCAGGTTAGGGCTGTGGAGGTGTGGGGACCTCCTTCCAAGGTGCAAGGAGCTAAGGCACAGGACAGCCAAAGGCAGGTACACCAAAGCCATGGGATGGCTCTATTCCAAAAGACTGTCCCAGGTACCACAACCCCTACTCTCTGCAGACAGGGAGTCCACGTGACCTTCTGCCATCTTTTGGGTGGGGCACAGAAGCACCCAGAATGTCTGGCCACCCAGATATTTTGGGTCTGTGCCTCATACAGAAGGTATACTGGGCCTGTATCTGTATTATATTGGAGCAGTCTAGCTCATTCTGTAGAAGACCCCTGTGTATCTACAAGGCTTGTTTTATTTTTTGCAGTGATGGTGGTAAAATATACATTAACATAAAACTCCGTAAGTTCAGTGGCATTAAATACATTCACACTGAGGTGCAACCATCACCACCATCCATCTCCAGAACTCTATCCTGCAAAATGGAAACCCTGTACCCATTAAATAATAACTTCCCATTTCCTCCTCCCCCCAGTCCCTGGCAATCACCATTCTTTCTGTCTCTATGAATTTGACTACTCCAGGCACCTCATACTGTCCCAGCTCCAAGGACTCATACAATACCTGTCCTTTTGTGACTGACTTATTTCACATGGCCTAATATCTTCAAGGTTCATCCATGTTGAAGCATGTGTCAGACTTCCTTTCTTTTTAAGGCTGAATGCATTGTATGTATAAACCACATTTGGTTTACCTATTCATCCATCAATAAAAAGTTGGATTACTTCCACCTTTTCGTTATTGTGAATAATGCTGCTATGAATATGGTGTAAATATTTTTCAGATCCCTGCTTTTAATTCTTTTGGGTATATACCAGGGTAGAATTGTTGAGTCATGTGGTAATTCTATGCTTAATTGTTTGAAGAACCACCACACTATTTTTCACGGTGGCTGTATCATTTTACATCCCCACCAACAGTGCACAAAGATTCCATATGAGCTTTCTTTATTCCATAAACTGGGTCTAATCACCCATATTCCCCAGATTCAGGTCACTACTAACATGGTCTTTCTGGCTCTGGTCAGGCCTCACTCTTCTTCCCTAGAGAAGGGGTAGTCTCCCATTACCCACCTGTCCTCCAGTAATCCCTTTGGTTCCTGGAAGGCCCACTCCTTTTGTACCTACAGCTCACAACTGCTTGGGGCTGGCAGACTCCCGGATTGAGGGTTGGGGCTCTGCACAATGTCCAGTACAGCACCCACACTGAGGACTGCCTGCACAGTGGGATTGGAGCCAGGCCTGCTTAAAGCTGCGATGTGGCAAACCCTTACTTTGACATCCTCACTACTCCAGCAGCAGGACAAAGACAAAGGGGTCTGTGTCCACACTGATACCCTCCCCAGCTGTCTCTTCCCTGCCTTATTCTTAAAAGTCTTACTTTCCATTGCAACTGATCACACCTGACAAAATAACTGGGCAGCTGTATTTCACCTTGAAGATAAAGATTTTCAGGAACCATTTAAAGTACTCATCAGAAGAGGAATATAAGAGAGTTAGGATAAAACTTGAGGGGCAGGGACTCAGAACAGAAACCTCTTAAATCATTCCACCACTAAGACAAATGGTCAAGGCCTCTTATACTTTTATACAGTATCTTTGCATAAATTAGAAAATGATGCCTTTTTTGGATCAGATTTGCAGCTCACCTTAACTACTAAATATTGTGCAAAGTGTAGACTACTTATTGTGCCAATGATACAAAGGCACACTCTCTGAGCACATTCAGTGTCATGCATACATGACACGGTAAACAGATGCCATCTCTTTCCCCAGGTACATAGCTTGGTAAGCAGAGCTCCCACTCATCTGCAGTGACAGCCATAAGCAGTCACTTTGGGCTTTTGATGGTTCTAAGGTCATTCCCTCCTGCCATTACCACCTTGTAGACAAGGTATTTACAGATCACACTGGAAAGATGATTTCTTTTTAAGACAATAAACTGAGGATCTATTACCATGTGCCTGGTGAACCAAGGGCAAACGAGGGTCTCCTTGCATCAGACCGGAAGGAAACCCAGAAGCCCTGGGCTATCAACTCAACATGCTCCACCAATACCAAAGCTACAGCCCACATCTCCCTCCCACAGCTTCTCACCTGAGCCACCTCTTCAAAGTCATCATGCCTCTTCTGCAGGGCCCGGGCTCGATGCAGGGACTTTCCAACTCCAGTGTGTTTGCTGAGAAAGGCCTCACCATGGTTTTCAATCCAGTCTAATACCTGGTCAGAGAAGAATGACAGAAAGAATGATTTTCTGCCAGAAGAAAAGACAGGTGATAACATTTGCATCCACTTCAAATCTGCAAAACCTTCAAAGTCTTCAGTGACAGTATCATAGAGCCCTAGAGTTCCCATCCCAATCAAAAAGTGATGGTGCACCTGATCATCTACATTTGCTCTCTTACAACACTAAACTATGTTTCCTACCTTTATCTTGCATCTACCTACCACTTCAGCATTTTATTTAAAATAATAATAATAATAATAATAATAATAATAATAATAATAATAATAATAAAGGGAGAAATGTGGGATTCACATATAAATCAAGTATAAAAATCAAACGAATATTCATATTTGACCTGATTGTTTATAGTTCATAATGAGTGATCAAAACCGAAAGTTTTTGTAATGACTACTCTTGTACTGGTCACCATGTAAGAACTTATTCACTATGTAAGAATTTGTTCACCATGTAAGAACTTGTTCGTTATGCTTCAGAAGATTGGAGACTGACAAGAATTAGGCTGGGGGTGGATTAATGATTGTTAATTGAGCATTGACTCTCCTATACAGAATTTTATTGTTGTTAACAACCATTTGATCAATAAATACGAGAGATGCCCTCTCAAAAAAAAAAAAGTGATGGTGCAGATGGAAATGTTCAATCCACTGTTGATACAAGGGATTTCATTACTGCCATTGGCATGTAACAGTCCCACCCTTAGCTAAATTGAACTCATTCTCTTTGATCTCCAGAATATACCCTCATTACTTTTTCAGTTTTCTCAGCCTTAATTAGTTCATTGTTTTAAACAAGCTACATAGACCATCAGGCACAGTCTAACTCCCTTACTACCTTACTCCAACTATGCCAAGTCAGACACCTTAGCAGGAAATTAGGCAGGATCAGGTTAAGGCAGTTCCTTGGCCCTCACTGCTTGCTCATCCCTCACTCACCATAACAATGCTCACAGCAGAAGCAAGCAGTCATGGGGATCCTGCCTCACGGTGCTCCTGGGCTCACTTCCTAATCTTGAAAGTAAAGTCCACAGTAGACAGTCCCTGAATGGATGCTCAAGATAGCTGATCACCAAGACAACTGCCCTTTCTGGCTTCTTTCCACGTCTCTCCTCCAATCAGTGCCAACCGACCAACTAACCAAATAAATTAAGGTCTTTGCACCTTGAGGCCTTAAATAATAATGATTTTTCTCTTGGGAAGCCCATTAATCCAGGCTTAAAATATAATGGTTTGGCCTCAGGACATTTTTCTCAGTGTTTAGGGAAGCTACAACAGAGGTGGCAGGAGCAGCAGAGGGATGAGTTGGGATGCTGACAAGGTAAGAAAATATGTTGTCCTGAGCAGCACTTCTTGGGGGAGTAGAAACCTGTTAGCAAAACCTTGAAATGCAGAGAGGACTATTTTCCCATTCATGTAGATGGCCTAACAAAAATGCATGCCTCCCAGTGAGAAGGGAAGCAGTTCATCTTCTGGCCTCTGAAGAGTTGGTACTCTAAAGAGTTGGTACAATTACCAGAATTAAAATACAGACACACTTGTTACAGATCCTGCCAGGACTCAACTCAGCCCACTCCATTAACGCTACACTAAACTTCAACTGAACATTTGATTAATGGTGCGCTAGCTTTCTCAGATTTTAGAAGGACTTTTTGGAAATTAATTTAGAGGAACTAGGCCTGTTTGAAGGGATGTTTTAATCCATTCCTCTGTTTCTTCTGTGGGCTGTGATGTGGCAAGTAGATAGACCAAATCATTCCATGGACTACAGGCAAGAGAATTTTGGCACCACAGAATCTAGCCTTTCACTGAACTTCCTTTAACATGAGATAAATTATGACTGCAATTGTGCAAAGTATGGAAACATTCAAAGTCTTCAGTGACAGTATCATAAAGCTCACAACAAGATGGTATTAATTCAGAGAAATGCACATATGAATATAAAATTGAGGTTTAAACAGTCACTCTACAAAGTTGGAAGGCAGTTAATTGCCCATTAAAATGAAGAAAAAAGGCTTTTTAATAAATGGCTTTTTCTAAACATTGGGCATAGAGATTTTAAACACTTTATGTAATAAATTATGGCAATATATATTTTTAATATTCTGAAGGCACATCTGTGAAGAAAAATTGTAGTAGTAAATGAACTGGAGTTTTACCTTTTGCAAACACGGAAAGGCAGCACTGAAAAGAACTCTAAATAGTCCAAGCTTAGAAGAAAGGTTACATTTCTCTAAAATTACTGATGTGCAATGACAATAACAAAACATCAGGAGAGTGCATTTCTACTTAATATGCCACACTTGACCCCATGATTTTCTATTGGAAAGGGGACATCAAGTATCAGCTCACAAAGTCAAAGATAAATCCTATTCCGTTTCTCATATGAGTACCTGGATAGTGCAGTTTGATAATTTTTATGCATGAACTTTTACTAATCCCCTTTTAAGAATGAACTGAAGCTTAGGGATAATTTTCATATACAAAAGAGCTGTCACAGTGTTTTATGAATGTTTTGGAGTCTCTGACAGATTTTTCAAGATTAATTTTTTTTTTCAATTTAGGTTTGAAGCAGTGTGGCCTGCTTGTTTGGCAAAGTTTTCAGGAATTTTTCATTTCATTTCATTTTTTTATCTCTGGTGTTAATAAAATTGGTTATTCTAAAGCAAATAGGTTAAAGAAGAATGTTTTTCATCCACTAGCTCACAAATGGTTAACTTTTTTACTCCCTGGGGTGATTTCAGAACTTTTAAACTTTCCTTTAAAAAGTGTTTTGTTTCCTGTTTAAATTCTTTTGCTTTCTTTAAAATGTCAACCATTTTCAGTTAGTGACACTTAGTTTACTGAATTAGCTCTACCTTAACCTCTTAATAATCTGTTTATTTCATATCTGAGAGGTTTTTATTTAGTTCAAACATAACTGATTGCTCTGTGGTGTTAGGTTGCCTCCATTTAGTCCTACCTCTGCTATTAGAACTGAAGCTGTGGGAAAAACATGTGCAACCTCAATGAAGAAAAATATAATAAATAAAAAAGTTAATGATTTAGGAAGTGACCAAATTACTTGAGTAATACATAGAAACTGAAAAAGTACCTGAGGATAAACACAATCGATATATGAGGTAAGGTTTGCAATGCTGATTTCTATTTTGGTTCAGTCAGTTCATTTAGAGCCAGCATTGCTTGATAGGCACATTTAGACCACATGCTCTCTCCACCCTGATGGCATATCCCTCAACCCTGGGACACAATCCAGCTTCCTATGTAAACGGCTTCCTACAGCAGAGAAATGTGCTTCTGCACAGACACCAGCAGTGCCTAACAAATACATTACAAATCAAACATTAAGGTGCAGCACTGGAAGTCTGGATATCCCGCAGTTTCTGGCGAGCCCCAGAATCTGAACATCACTGGCTGAAGAACAAATTGCATTTCTAGCCAAACCCTGGACCCTACAAACAGTGTATGCACCAAAGTATCCCTTATTGGCTGCCCCCATTTAATTTCTCTCATCTACAAAATTTTATTTCAAATAATCAGTTATCATTGAGATAGTACAGGATGATTGTTAATTATATTGATGGTTTTGAATTGGTATTTAAATGTTTCCTACAAAGGAAGTTTTATCTTTTTGTTTTTATGTGAGGGATCTTCAGGAAGCAGAGAAGCAGGTGTGGGATGTGAATATTCACCTATTGAAACATATTTATTAGTCTTATTGTGCAGTAATGTTGGGCACACACCCAGCTAGGTGACAGCTGGTTAGGGGCAGAGCTGGGACAAGGCAGGCAAAGCCCTGACTCTGGGAACTCAGTCTAAGTGGGTAACAGGCTCTAGACATGAAATCACACAATTCATCACTAATTGCAATGCTGAAAAGTACTAACTGTTAGGGAAGGATTCTCTGAAGAAGAAGGCCTGAGAGAGAGTAAGACTTAACCAAGTTAGGAATTAAAAACATCAGCATGACTTGAGTAGTGGGTAGTAGGAAATGGGCCAGAGAAGGCAGGAATGAGCCCTGGTGTGCTAAGTCAGATTCCAGGGTTCATCCTAAGAGCCACTGAAGGGCTGGCTGCAAGGAGGAGAAAGACATCACCAGACCTGCACTTAAACATTATTGCTCTGACTGCTTTGTGGAGAATCAGTTAGAGGAAGGAAAGAGTAGGGGTGGAACCATAAGAGGTTACTGCATAAATCCTGACAAGACACAATAGGGCCTTAGAAGAGGCCGACGGCAGGGCCTGTGGAAAGACAGGTGTGAATAATATTTAGGGGAGAGAATGGTGAGGATTAGGTGATTGGGTATGAGGTGATGGAGACGCAGGTGGAAGGCTGGCCCTGCAGGGCACAGCTTCAATAACAGTGTAGAAGGAGGAACTGATCACTTGTGCAGAAGCACATGAATTATGAGGGTTAGCACAGAGATGATGTATTTTCCTTAAGCTTTCTTTTAATTTTCATACTCATGCTCTGGTTTTGATAAACAATGGTTGTGCCTCTGAACTTGAGTGGGAAGAACCAGTGATAGCTGTCATTCTGATTCTGGAGAGATGTGCTTTTATTTTCAAAAAAGTAATTTTATACACAAAGGTTTAAAAAATAAACTATAAACTGTTAATATAGTTAGATCCTAATAATAAAAAAAAATAGGAGAAACACAAATTTAGGCTCAAGTAAAATTGACCCATGCATTCTTGAAGGGGCATTTCACTGGGATAGTTTTTGAGGGACCTCTTAACTTGACATGCAAAGTCCTATGAAGTCAGCCCCACCTCCTCTCAACCCCACCTCCAACAAGTTCCTGTGTCTCACCTCCTGAGTTTTGCTCTATTTTTAACTTCATTTGAAATGTCCAAATCCTTTTTCTCCTTATATCCATTTTCGAACCTACTTCCCACTCATCCTTTAAGAACCATCTCAAAATCACTAGTTTTGGAAAGACTTTTCTCTGTAATAACCCACCCAGTCTAGGGCAGAGT